GATCTTTCATATTTAAAAAATGTAATCCATTTTTATTTATTTAGATCTATGCATTCCACATTCAACAATAAATACTAAGGATTTGTATACATGTTCTGCTACAGGAATATAAACTGTGGCACTGAATAAGAGACAATATGATTTCTATTATACGAGGATTGGTTAAATTCTTTTGCTAAGACCATATGATGGTTACTATGTAAACATATAATGGAATATTATATAACCACTTCAATGATTTCGTATGATATTGTATTTGTAGCAGGGAAATATATTTATTATATATTTTTTAGAAAATAGCATTCTAAAAGAACAAGTAAATTATCTAAAACAATAGTTCTGGAGTCAGTAAAACTGTATTAAGAGTTTGTATTAAAACTTGCACCTCTGATGTGAAATAGCAAACTGTTCTAATTTCTACTTCATTTTTCTGTAAAAAGAATAATAATTATACTTTTTCCTACTTCATTATGTTTGAGGAAAGTATAAAGAAATTTCATTCAATGTTCTTAGCATTCCACCTGTTGAATAAATTGACATAACTGCTGTTTTTAGAACAGCATAAATATCTCATTTGTAAAATGTATGCTTATATTTTTTTGATTTAGCTCTTGATCCTGATAACCTATACATACAGATATTAACCCCCAGTGTTCATGTGATCATCTAAATCATTAGGTTTATATGTAAATTTGTTGTGTTTGCTTGCCTGTTCATTTGTTTTAGGTTAACTCTATTTCCTAAATTTTTAGAAGAGAGTATCAGTCAGTAAGGAGTTCTGCTGCAGTAACAAAGAAATCCCAAATCACAGTTTCTTAAAACAACAGAAATTTCTTTCTCATTCACATTAGAGGTTCTTGGAGGTCAACAGAGCTTTCTGACAATGGTCCTGTTTCCAAAACCCAGGCTAAGGAAACAGCCCCTATTTCCAGAACTGCAAATCCTCAGGCCAAAGGGAAAAGGGGATTTCAAATGATGTCCTGCCTCTCAAAGCTTCTTCTTAGATAAGATAAACATCCTTTGCTCATATGTATTGGCTAAAGTCCGACTCATGCTCAGAAGAACCTCAGTAATAAAGAAAATGTATTTTTAAATCAAGAAGAGTTTAAAACTAATATATAGCCTATCATAAGTCCATTAGTAGCTGTTTCTGTTAGTTCTTTTCRGTTATACATAACATTAAGATTCATTCTGACATAATAATTATAAGAACATGGATATAATTTGTTCTAATTCAGTCCCCAGTACTTCCCAGTGCCCTCCTCCCTCCCACATTCCCTTCCCTATACTCCACTGATCTTTTTGCTATTTACTTTTAGTGGGTTTTTGTTGTTGTTGTTGTTGTTGTTACCAAGGATTGAACCCAGAGCCACTGAGCCACACCCCCAGCCCTTTTTTATATTTTATTTAGGGTCTCACGAGGTTGCTTAGGACCTTGATAAATTGCTGAGGCTGGCTTTGAACTCATGATTATCCTGTCTCAGCCTCCTGAGCCGCTGGTATTAACAGTCATGTGTCACCACRCCTGGCTAATTTTAGTTTATTTTAATGTCTTAAGGATGAGATTAACTGTGGTATATTCACCTATGTATATAGGAAAGTTAGGTCAGACACATTTGGCTGTTTTTCCCCTATACTGTTAGCAGAGCAACGATATGTGAATTTAGAATGTGATTTTCCACTCCTAATCTCAGAAGCAGAAACTAATAAATAATTTTATATGTACATGGATTATAGATGATCCATCATGAAATGATATCTGTAGGTAATAAGAAATGGAACACAAGGAATGATTAATAAAGAACTTAAGAGATCATATAATTTGTTTTCCTACCTTTGAAACATAATGCTCCCACTTAATCACCACTAGTGGAAGCAAGGAGTCTCAATTCATTTCTGGTAAAAAAAAAATTCCATCACCTGACCTCTGCAGAATGTGAGAACATCCTACAGGAGGTTTTAGGCTTCTGGGCCTTTGTTTGTCTTTGGGCCCCAGCTGGTGAGCTGCTGAGGCTCTCAGGCTTGAGAACTGATGGGCCTTGTAATTGCTTTCTTCACTCATGTAACCACAGCTGCAGCGTTCATTCAAAAATTGCAAAACTAATCCTTTGAAAGTTTTCATGTTGGATGTTTGCTTCCAAACACCCAGTGCCAGTGAATTTGCAGATGTAGTTTGAAGAACTCCAAGGTCTCTGACCACTGGTCTGAGCCCTGCACTGGCTGTCATAAATCCTTAGTTTTTATTCTCCCTTATTCTACCTTCTATTTTGCTCTGGTTCCCTGGAAGATCACTGCACTCATCAAGATCTCCTTTTCCCTATAAAGGAACTGGTGAAGTTTATCATTTATTTACAAAGTATTTCTCTGACAATACAGTCCGAGGCAAGAAATTTTTTAAATTATTTAACTCATTAATTAAAGCATGTTAATCCATAAAAATCAAGATAGGATTTCTACTTTTTATAGGCTTAAGTGAATTTAATGACTTTTAAGTCAAAATTCTATACATGTATTCAACATCTTTTTGATAAAATATATTTTAAATWTACTCCACTACTTTCAAATGATAGCTAAATAGTTACTCTTAGAAAGATAAGAGACCAATATGTGTTTGAAGATCAAGCCTTGTCAGAGTTTATTCAAGATCAATATGATGTCTACGAAAATGCTCTCACTATTGTTCTATGTATTAAAAAAAAACTTAGAGACCAATGAAAACCCACTGGAATCTGTATACTAAAGTGATTTTCCATGTTTGAGAGGTAATGTATGTGCTTTCTCTTTCCTCATTATATAATTTATCATTTTGATCTTTAAATTAGAAAGAACTTTTGAATTTTGTTGCAGATTTTTTKGGGGGAGTTGACATAAGCAGATATCCTTATTGGTAAATAATATAAATATAGTATAGAAACTACTCTATTTACTTATACTATATACATAGCCACTCAAGATTATCTTTTAGAAAGTGAGCCCTTTAACTTAGAAAATGCTGTAACATATTAGACTTCCCTGTGCTTTATCACTTTAAGATGGTAGCAAAACTATATCTTAACTTTTCTCAAGTAAACACATCTGGAAAAGGTTCTCAAGACAAAATCTATTTTGAGATAAAGTTATTTTCTTTCCCTCCCTGCATGAAATTGTCCCCTATAGTATTATAAAGTTATGACAAGATAAACTGATTGATTTTAATAAGAAGAGACACTGATTGGGCTTCCTATGTCCATTCTTTTTCATATAACGAAGAACAATAGGTAAGCATTTTGTCAATATTAAATTGTAATGAGAAATTGTTTGTTTTGCTGTAGATTGTAAGTAAGGGTAAATAATGTTAATCTGAGGGATGATAATTTTGATTCTTTGATACTTCAAAGCACAACAGGCATACACAGCACCATCTGGCAGAATTATTAAAGCAAGTGGAGAAATAGTTCCTCTCTGGATAGCTGGTGGAAGATGGGGCTAGTCAGAAGTACTTCTGAAATTAAAACAATAAATCCTTCTACCCATAACCTAGTATCCTATTTATAATCATTAGAGGAAAATATTGGTCATGAGAAAACACCTATAACACACCCAAAAAAACTTTGGAGACTAGGGAGTTTTCTATATAAAAAAAACTGGTAAGTAATAAAAAGCCAGGCAAGGACAAGATATGAAGAATTTGGAACTGTCACCACTGATTGGATCATAAAAAGTTGCAACAATTTTAGAGACACCCTCATAACACTAAAAAAGTTACATGTGGTGTGATCATATGACTCAGCATATGGAATTCACTCATAGGTATGCACCCAAAGAAATGAAAACTCATGCCAACACAAATGCTTTTGCATGAATGTTCATAGAAGCATCATTCATAAGGACCGATGAGTAAAAGACAAGCAATTATCCAAATATCCATCAACCGATGAGTGGTTAAACAACTATGGGATATCCACACTGTGTAATATTATGAAGCCATAAAAATCCACCAAGTACTAACACACAATACAACATTGATGAACCTTGAAAACATTATACTAAGTGAAAACATTATGTTTAGCCAACCACAAAAAGACTACATATTTTGTGATTCCATTTATACAAAATATCCAGAATAGATAAATCCACAGCAGAAAGTAGGTTGGTGGTTTCTACTGGTTGGGAGTGACACTATGGGGGAGTGGGTTTTCTAAAAAATGTCCTACAATTAGTGGTGGTCATTTCATAATTCTGTGACTATATTTAAAACAATGAGTTTTGCATTTTAGAAGGCTAAATTTCATGTTATGTCTTAATTTTAAAAAGTAGATTTTAAAAAGAGATAAGGAACAGGAAATTAAACTACTTCTCCTTTCCTCTTTCTTAAACAAAAGTTGTAATACCATCAATTATCAGTTCCTCTGGAAGTACATTTCATGTAAAGTTTGCTATTCCCATATGAAAYGTGAATTTGTGTTTCTCGTTTTGACAAAAAAGAACAAACAAACCACTTTTCCTCTAGGTGTTTTTTTCCTTCTGAAATGATGCTGCTCTGGTAGTAAGCACACATCTGAGTCTGTCTTCTAAAACGACAGCACCTGTTCAGGGCTGTTTATACGATTCCTTTTCAAAAGCCAGCCATCTCCCAAAATAAAGGTAGTGGGTTTCACAAATGTCAGTGCACAATTGAATCATCTCATTCAAAAGCTTTAAGTAAATATACAAACTGAACTTAAATAAAAGAGTAACACTGAACAGAATGAAAGGGAACTGAAATTGAGCAGTCCTMAAAGCTACAGAGACTATGGACAGTGTGTGTGTGCATGTGTGTGCAAGCAAGTGCACATGTGTGGGTGGGGCGGTTGGGGGGAGATCTTTCACCATGTCATTCCACTGGTCAGCGGTGGACTGGTTATCAGTTCAGATAACCAACCTTCTCTCATGCAAGTGCTCTTCTGTAAGACTCCMGTGAATGGTATTCCTCTGAAGCACAGAATTAGAAATCAGTGACAAGCCCCAGAGACCACACTCACCCCTTCCAGAGCAGGRCAGCTCAGCGCCTCCCTGACACTTCCTGATGCTCTCCTCAGCAGACAGCAGGCAGGAACGTGGGTGCTCACACTTCTTCCCATACCAGCCTGCTTTGCAGTCACATCTTCCACAGTTACACTGTCCATGACCTTGAGAGCAGGAAAAGAGAGAAAGAGAATGCATGAAGATAATGAAGGCAGAATTCGTTTTTAGTTTTCATTCTAACCGTGAACGTCAAAAATGAGCCAGGATCRTCACTGACAATATAAAAACATGACTGCAAAGTCACAATTTTCACAAAATTATTAATGGTTGATTTATACTGATTGATTATGAGGGGGCAGAGAAAAGCAACAACTACAGCTAAGATAAACAGTTCAGAGGGCTGTAACCTGGGCATCTACTGAGTTCCTGATAAATGGGATTCTATTGGTCTGTTGGGACCCAAAAGGAGTGGCTGATGGATTCAGTCATGAGTTCATGTGGAGRGGAGCCGTAGGAAACAGAAAACAAGTTAATTTTGAAGAAGGAATTCGTTTCTYTCTAATGAACCACTCAACTGATCTTTATTTATGAAGATCCCACAGAAAGGCTGGAGAAATTTAGAAAGCCTGAGGCACAGAGTGACAGAGGCAATGAAATCTAGAATTTGGGAGAAGTTGATCTGTTTTACCCCAGTTTTACTGGGGCATAACTGGTAAATAAAAACTGCACATATTTAAAGTGTACCACGTGAGGTTTTGATACACATAGGCACATGGTGAAATAATCACAATCAGGCTAATTAGCATATCTCTCACCTCACACAGTGTGTGTGTGTGTGTGTGTGTGTGTGTGTGTGTGTGGTGTGTGTGTAGAACCATTTAAAATCTATTCCCCTCACAAATTTCAAGTACACAATACAGTCTTACTGTGGTCAACATGCCATGCCCTAGTTCTCCAGAACGTGTTCATTTTATAATTTGGGGAGTTTGAATGCTTTGATCAAGAGCTCACCCCTGCTTCTCAGTTAACCACCCTCCTATTCTCTGTTTCTGGAAGTTCCGATTCTTTCAGTTCCCACATGCCTATCAGGGATGCAGTACTTGTCCTTCTGTAACGGGCATATTCAAAGGTCCTCCAGGTTTATCCAGGTTGAGGCAGATGATAGGATTCCATCTTTGCCATTCCATTGTCTATATTTAGCACATTTTCTTCATCCATTCATCTATCAACAGACACTTAGGTTGTTTCTCTATTGTGAAGAATGCTATAATGAGCATGGGAAGGCAGATATTTGAGATAATGATGTTACTTCCTTTGGATACATACCCACCATATATTAGGTCATATGGAAGTTGTATTAAGTTTTGGAGGAACTTCCATGTTTTTCATAATGGTCGTACCAATTTACCATGCCACCAACAATGTGTGTGTGTTCCCTTTTCTCTACATCCTTGCCAACACACATTTTAACTTTTTATATTGGCCATTCTCACAGGTGTGAGGTGATATTTTATAGTGGTTTTGATTGGCATTTCCCTGATGATTAGTGATAGTCTGTACTTTTTTTGTGTATTTATTGACCATTTATATATCTTTTTCAGAAAAAAAGTCTTTTCAAGCTTTCTGATCATTTTTAATTGGGTTATTTGATTTTTTTACTATACAGTTGTATTAATTTTTATATATTTTGATATTAACCCCTTATTGGATCTATGTCTTTCAAATATTTCCTTCCATTCTGTAGGGTGGTTTTTTTTTTTTTTTTCTTTCCATTTTGCTGACTGCTTCCTTTGGTGTCTCAGAAACTTTTAAATTTGATATGCTCCTACTTATTTATTTTTGCTCTTGTTTGACTGTGTTTTTTTGTGTCATATTGAAAAAAAAAAGTCACTGTGAAGCCCAGTGTCATGGGGCCTTTCAGCTTTGGGACTTAAGCTTGAGTCTTCATGCCATTTTAGGTCGATTTTTGAGTATGCGGCAAAATCAGGATCTGATTTCATTTTATTACATGTGCATAGCTGTTTCTCCAGTGCCATTTATTAAAGAGCTACCTTTCTTCCTGCTGTGTTTCCTTGATACAATTTTTATTGGTTCTTTTTAGTTATACATGACAGTAGAATCTACTTTGATATATTTATACAAGCATGGAGTGTATCTTGTTCTAATTAGGATCCCAGTCTTGTGGATGTATGTGATGATGGGATTCACTATGGAGTACTCATATATGTACATAGGAAAGTTAGGTCAGATTTATTCCACCCTCTTTAGATCATTTTCTTAATTTCTTTTCTGGATATTTTGTTGAAGCAAGACCTGATCTTCTGGAGTATCCACACTTCACCTTCTTCTGCCATTTACTAAGTACCACATGTGTATGAGGCCTTTAGCTAAAACCAGTAGCCCCCATGGAGTTCCCAGTCCTTAAAAAACAGCCTCGTAGATACAAAAGAAGTCAGAAAAAAATATTAAAATTTTGGACACTTGGACACAGTTTGTAAAGAACTGTGATGAACAGTGTATAATACAGCAAAAAMCAACTCGTATTATCAATTGAATAGTGGGTCCGGCTCCTGCTTCTGCTAACTACAGAATGGGGCTACTCGTGAGACCTCTCTGAAGTTCAGTTCTAAATTTTTAAACAGAAAAATAATACCTTATCTATCCACATTTATTGAGAAGTACAATGTATATCTTAAAATGCTACATGACAATGAGCTGCTGTTATTTTTATTCATTTGAGCCCACGCATGTTACCAAGTAGAAGAAAGCCTGATCCTTTCTACTGAGCTTTTCTTAACTCCTAATAAACATCCAGATATTCGTCATTGCAGACCAAAACCAAGTAGATTTCTATAWTTGTTGCAAAAATGCTTGAAGAATTTGAAGGCAATAGAAATAATGTACTTTTTAAAAGTCAATTGGGGCGATGCCAATGGGTGAGAACCCAGGCTGTTTGTCTTTGGCATCTGATTTAATGTAAATCATGCAGAATGGAAACTGGTCTTCAGTGAAGCCTGGTCCTTTGATCACCATTCTATGAGCTTTCTGGGCTCACCTTCTAGTTTGAAGAAACTGGCAATCCATATCTACAGGAGCTTTTCTTAAGAAAATTCTATAAAATCACAGGTCAAAGTGAGGTAGCATGTTAGAGGTCATTAGATATAAACCTCTCATTGAGTACCATATGCAATTCACTGAAGATTTCTTGAGCACCTACTATGAACAGATTCTATTCAACAAAGGTCTGTCAACAATCCTCTGACTTGGAGTTCATCATTTTAAAGAAATAAAATGTGAGTACTAATAAATACATATGGCATGAATATGATCATTTAGAACTTCCAAGAGAATTTTTCTTTTATATATATATATAAAAGATATATATATATATAAAGAGTTCTGTCCCATAGGTTGTTTGGTTCCGTGGCTTTTCACCATTTATCACACCTTAAGAAGTTTCTTTTCTTCTTTCCAATCCTCATGCAATTTAGGACAAACACTGTGATCAGAGATAGACTGAAAATGCATACATAAATAACCGTTTTTAAAATCCAAACCTTTACCATTTACAGTGTAATCAATTTCATTTTTTAATAGAGCCATGACTTTAAAATGCTTGTAAACAAGAGGTTTCATTTCAGGGACAGTTAKATGTCTTAGGAAGAGGCTAGACAAAGCATAGAACATATTGCTATTTGCGGAAGACTAGTTGACACTWTAACAGCAAAACTGAAAAGCAGATTGAAGGAGGAAAAATCTTTACTTTTGGAAGTTTAAAATGGCTGTAAAAATCAGAACAAAACGTCTAGCAGAGGAGGGTGCCAGAAGTCTGTAGCTACCCAAGAGGAAGCCACCTGCTGCTGTGGCCCATCTGAATCCATGGCAGGGTATGTGGCTGCAAGAGGCTTCCCAACCCTGGGCAGGTAGAATGACACAGAAGCCTTGGCGGCAAAGGCAGGTGCTGAGCAAGGCCCATGACCAAGGAGCGCGGTCCCAACTGTGGAGCTGGCACACATGTTCGGGAGCAGTCACTTTCTATGTGAGCTCCATTCACAMGTCGACATTTTAAAAAATTGTGGTAGAATAAACCAAATCGTCAAGATGATTAGAAGTTAACACAGTGAGACAGGTGTTCAGAGCTAGAAAGCCATTCAGGGAATGTCAAAGGAAGTCAGGTTAGCTGTGAAGGCCTTAATAGGTTTTAAAGGAAATGCAGATGCCCTATACTTGAAAGAAGAAATCTCTRGGAATTCTTTGCTTTTAAGTCTGGAGATTCCCTTTGCTTTCTTGTCACTCTGTTTCCCCCAGTCAGCTTGCCATTCTCTAAGCCCTTTCTCCTAAGGCCCTCTTATTACTGTACCTCTATTGTCCTATCCCTTTGCCATTTCAGTGCTTTGCTAAAATCCCGGGGGAACAAGGATGCAGCTTATAAGCTCCTAGAGCATTACTTCCTGTGTACTGACTGCCATGTCATCAACKTCATTGAGGATTGTCCCAATAAAAACCCAGGCTGAACTTTCAGTCATTGTCAACTCTAAGCAAAGCTGGGTGGAACACGTATGTGTCCTTACTTATTCYGTGGGTGTGATGAGCCCTTGTTGCCTGATTTCCCACCTCAACCTTGAACCTCAGTCTTTGCTTTAGCTACCCCAATCCTGTGGGTAACACCCCTGCCAACTGATGGCTGGTACACAGCAGGGCTTCATGAGATCAGGTTTCGGCTGTGCTTGGCTGTGGGATGAGACTTTGCTCTGAACAACCAAGTCTCAAGGTGGGAGACTACTGTGAGGTCACCCACTTCGACGTCCTTCACATTTACCATCAGGATTCAGTATCCGCTGAAAAGGACCAAGCTGAGCAGAGGAGGGACACTAAAATAGGAGTGACTTAGGTAAGCCACCCATAAGGAATGAAGTTCCTGAGAGCCAATGAACCAACTGAAGGGATAAAATAAGGGCAGGGGATGTTTTCTGAAGGCTTCATCACTTTGGGATTTTCTAAATCAACTGTCTCAATGAAGATCATGGAAGAAGCAAGTGTATAAGTAATAGAGAGGCCTCTAAAAATCTCATCTACCATAATGAAAAACAGTGTTAACAACAGCATTGCCTGACAAAGACTTATTAAAGACTGACTGATGGGAGTTGAAACACATATATAATTT